CCCCCTACTTTATTTTCCAAACACTACTCTTACCTTTTAAATTGTTATTTTAAAAGCCCCCCCCCCCCCCCCCCCCCACAGTTTACTGAAGTAAAGTAATATGAAGGAAATGTGGTATTGTATTTTTAAAAAAGTGGATATAGATATACCATGATTTTTTATGCTGTGTGTGAACTTGACCATGTTTCCGAACATGCTATAATTTTGACCTCTTGACCTTCATGTTTGACATTTTGTACTTTGGGGATTACTTTTGAATGACAGGTGATATGACGTTTATATTTGATACAAAATGTCATCGCCTCCACTAAGACACACAATTATTTAAATTTGGTTGTTCTTTTTAGTAAAGCACAAAAAAGAAGAGATGCGGCAAACTTCGTGCATGATGTTTTTCAGGCGCGGATCCGGGAATTTTTTCCAGGGGTGGGGTTTCCACCCCAGTCGGAAAAAAATCCAACCCACAGATTTTTTTGACAAGCAAAAAAAAAACAAACAAACAAAAAACTCCTTTCCCAAACGTTAAAAAAACTGTTTTTTCGTAGAGTGGTGGGGGTTATAGTCATTGACTTTTAATTAATAGCTGCAGATCTGTAGCGTTATGGTTTTATATATTTGTCTTTGACCATAACGCTACAGCATTCGGCACACCTCGGCCGATTACATCAAACATTTGATGTAGGGTACCGTAGTCAGCCGAGGTGAGCCGAATGACGCTACAGATCGCGTAATGCAAAAAGGTGCAATTAACCGCGCAATATTTTTTGCGCATTTTGGGGAGAATTTCTTCACTTTCTAGCATTGGTCAATCAATTACCTCTCAATCCTTAATTCTAGACACATTCTGTAGCCAATATGTATATTTTATCCACCTCCCAACCAATTATAGTTGTCTCTACAGGCAATAAATTAAACTCGCTTGAAGTGAATTTTCAGCAATATGATATATAATTTTAATCAAGCGAGTTTATCACTTGTAGAGACGACTATAAAGGGTAGATAGATGAATAAAATATACAGATTAGTTTAATAATGTTCCTAGAATTGGGGAGTGAAAGGTACACTGTAGTTAATTGACCGGTACCAATGTTGGAAAGTGGAGATATTCTCCCCAAAATTGCGCAAAAAATATTGCGCCGTAAATTGCACCTATTTTGCGTTACGGGATATGTAGCGTTATGGACATAGACAAATAATATATCTAACGCTACAGATCTGCAGCTATGACTTTTACAGCTTCATACCTAGAAACCTAGTTCTTTTCATAGAAACTCAGCACATATTTGCGTATTGGAGGAAGGGTCAGGAGGGGAGGGGTTTCTAGGTGGGGGTCTAAGGTCAACTTTATTTGTTTTAGTATATACATTTTAAAACTCTGCAAAAACCATTTTTGGGGGTGGGGTGGGGGTGGTTCCCGACACCCCTCCAGATCCGCGCATGTCTTTTATTTCTCTATTATAGGAAAATAAACACAGGTAAGCTAAAAAAGGATTAAATTAGTGACCATAGGAATACCAATTGTTCCTTGGAAGACCTAGCTGATCCCTGAAGATGACATAAATGCGTCAAGGAAGATCTCTAAGATCCTTGGACTTGCCCCCCCCCCCCCCTTTTCAGACATTTTTTTTACCTATAGAAAAGACAGGTAACTCCATCCCCTTTTTTGTTGTAGTAAAGTCAAATAAGGTTAATGTAGCATGTTTGAGTAAAAAAATGGTACTGGAAAAAGTTGGACCCCCCACCCCCACTACGAAATGAGATTTTCAAGTTTGCTTGTCAATTTTTTTCCCAGGTAATCTGAATTTTTTCACAGGCTTATCCCCCCTCCCCACTTTAAGAAACGATGTTACGTCCTTATAGATCATTATGAGTCCGAAAGGAATACACAAACACTAGAATATAAATATCAAAGCGCTCACAATGACTACTCAAAAGTCATGGGAATGTTATATTTTATTCATTCATTTATTTATTTATTTATTTTTTGCGGATGAAGAGCTCAACAAATAGAAAGCCAGACGGGCGGACCAAAAATATTTCCCCGAATCTCCGATCATGTGGGGAATTTGTGAAATTCTTTCATATTGCTACATGCAGCATACAAATCTCTCAACTGATTCGATTTCAACAACATTTTATTTACAAAAGAAAACATCATATACATGTACATGATTCTGAAATGTAAAACTAAGTTATCATGCAACTCCAGATGCTATTTTTCTCCACCTATATTATAACTAGTCTGACTCTCATAAAAAACCTTACACACGTACGTACCTAAATTCTTAGCATATCAACCCCAAATCCCTATATCAATTCTAATTTTTGAGAAGATTAGGAGAGCTTGGTCCTTTATCAAAGATTGAAATGTAAAATGTGAAGATAGGGAACAGCGATCGATCTAGAAATCAATAAACAAAACAAATCAGTGAAGAAAGCATAACACACGGATCCCTGGAAATCCCAGTGGGATCAGGTGCCTAGGATGAGTAAGCATTCTCTGATTGATCACACCTGCCGTGAGCCCTATCAATTGATCAAGGAATATTTACATTTCCAATGTCTATATGTCCGAGATAAAATTACAATTAGTAAATGTAATTTATTTCTCCATCAATGTACCCCATGGTTCATCAAAAGGCGCGGTTAAAAAAGATCACATGCAGGGCGGGACAAATAGTTAGACAGAAGCAGGACTTGTAGCACGTGGATTGGCGGAATCAAGAGCATGTAAATATATATAAGGAATAACTGTCTTATTTTTTTATTTCATGACGATGATCAATCGATTGGCTTGTGTGATAATTTTATGCATTTTATGCAAATTATCACGCAAGCCAATAGATTGATCACATCATGAAATCGGAAAATAAGACAGTTATTCCTTAATAGGTTTCGTAGTCAGTATAAAGACAAGATGTGTTTGTGGAACACTGATCCCCCCGTATATAATTTGGCAGCTTATGACGAGAGTTGAATTTTTATGCCCCCGTAATCGAAAATTCGGGGCTATGTAATTTTTGCCCTGTACGTCCGTCTGTCTGTTTGTTCGCAAAAACTTGAACGTTGTTCACAACTTTTGAATGGATGGCGCTATGGCTTTCATATTTCACCAGTATATTCCTAATTCCCTTGTGACAAGATCTTTCTTTTGGTACAGCCAAATTTGACCTCTTGACATTGGAGTTTAGCCATAACTTTTGAATAGTGATAGGGCTTTCATACTTAACATGTGTATTTAATGTGACGAGCCTTTCATTGTTTGTAAAAATATTTGTCCTTTTGACCTTGACCTTACAGTTTGGTCTACTTTTAAAAACTTTAACCTTGTCCGTAACTTTTGAACCGTAAGTACTAGGGCTTTCATATTCACAGGTGTCTTCCGTGCGAGAAATGCTTCCATTGGAGTTTAACTCGCATTGAGAAATTTCAACCCTCCCCATTAGCTTCCATACGGTAATTCACCAACACATCTTGTTTCAATTGCATTCAAATGCACTTCAAGGTCAAGGTCAAAAGGTCAAAATTGTTGGTACCAGAAAGAAAGGTCTTGTCACAAGGAATACACCTTTGAAATATGAAAGCCTTAGTTCTTACTGTTCAAAAGTTATGGCCAGGGTTAAAGTTTTTAAAAAGTGGGTCAAACTTTGAGGTCAAGGTCAAAAATATTTATACCCACTGAAAGGTCTTGTTACAATGAATACACATGTGAAGCATGAAACATGATGAAAGACCTAGCACCAACTGTTCAAAAGTTACGACCAAGTTTAAAGCGTGATAATTTTTTGTAAAAGTAGGTCAAACTCCAATGCCAAGAGGTCAAATTTGGTGGTATTTAAAGAAAAGTCTTGTCACAAAGAATACACCTGGGAAATATGAAAATCATAACCCCATCAATTCAAATTAAAGTTATGAGTTTTGCGGACAAACAGATGAAAAGACAGAGAGACAGACGGACATGGCAAAACTATATACCCGGAATCTTCGAAGTTACTCAATGATTGCATGGCCATACATGCACTTGCTAACTATAGGTCATTATAACTAACAAAGAATTTGTGAAATGCTGAAAAACGAGGTTAGTTTTGAAATATCTGTACATCAGCTCATCAGTTTAGCACCATGCCTCGTTGTAAAAATTATCGTACTCAGCAAGCAGCGGATAAGTTGAGAGACAACAACGCCGTTAGCAGGTGATCGTGGAATTCGAATATATTACCAAACGTGCACAAATAAAGAAATTTTACAATGGAAAAGCTGAATTAAGTCATCTCTCTTGTCATTCAGTTTAGTTTTTAGCTTTTCGTTATCGACTATAGTCAGTAAAACATCCGAATACTACTATGAAACAGATGTGACAGATTCAATGGTTTCTTTTATTTCAAGTTCACTGTAATATATCGAATTGACATATATAAGTAAAAATAACTATAAAACATCGTCAGTATACCAAATGTCGAACTGAAGGACACAGTAAATGTTTTCGACTTTTCAAGTCGATTTAAAAAAAAAATTTCTACTTTAAAGGAACATAAAAAAAGGTTAGCCAATGAGGAGCACAACAAGTGCCCATGGGAATTCCAACAGGTTGTTGGAAAAGTTGGTCTCCGAAGATTGCATAAGATATTATTGTTCAGGGTACATACGCGTGTACAATTAGAGTGGTTTTTAATGAATTATTTTTTGCTTATGATCAATCACATGATGAGAAAAATTGTTCCTTTCATATCGAAGATACCATGGACACCTTGCAGATATATGATATCAGCAAGTCTAGATTTTAACTCAATCATTATAACGAATTGTTTCGTAAATTATAGAAAAAAAACATAGAAAAAAATGTGATTTTAAAGTTTCTAAAAAAATCCTTGGAGTTTTTGAGCATCAGATTAATTGCAACACCTCTAAAATATGAATATGCTTATGATTGTAAGGGTTTGTAATGAGTACAGGCCCCGCCGCCACCAAAATTATACAGTACTCAGCCTCAATTCACTACTCAAGCGTTGAGGCCATCCTCAACAGAGGACATTCTCAAATCACCACCACCAACATAGTTGAGTATGTACTCTGTTGAATATGAATTTTTAGGTTCTCAACTCTACTGAGTACATACTCAGTCAATTTTTTTCAATGATGTAAGCGGTCTCACGAAATATACGAAGTACACAAAATTTGATGAAATGTTTGTTACGTAATAAACAGGTATTGCCGTCTGCTTTGTTTGTTTGTTTTATTCACAAACATGGAGCTTGTCGAAGTAAAACTCCCGACAGAACAAAATAATTCTAAGAAAAGGGGCACCAATTGGACTTCAGAGGAGGAGATCCTCCTAATAGAAGAGGTTTTGAAGTATGAAGAGACCCTCTTCGGTAAAATGAAGGGTTCGGGGGTGAAGGGTAAACATGGCAAATTGAAAGAATCTACGTGGAAATCCATCGCAGAAACCCTTAACTTGTAAGTTCTGTTGTTGTTGCATATTCAATCAAAACATTTAATTTTCCTACACTTAAAAAATATTATAGCTTATTAAGTTTTTACTTAACTTTTCCTTTCCAACTCACTGTAACGCGGACCTGTTGTAAATAAAGTTTAGTAGTTATCTCCCTTCAATCTTTACATGGGTAACTATTCATTTCGACCCAATACTGTTTGGAACGTGACGGTTTGACATCCATTGATGTGCAGTTGTATATTAGATCTAAAGTTTAAAAAATACGATGCGGTTTTTTTTTTAAAGAAAACGTTTTAGATCGCAGAAGATTAACAGACAAGAATGAAAACATTTCACATTTGATTCGTTGTATATAAATAAGAATTTTCTATCCATTTCATTATGAATTTATAAATTCTTATAATTGCTTATACAAAGAATTTTTAAATTGCTGTAATGAATTCAACAATTTTTAGAAACGGATTAAATTCGTTATAAGGATTAAATTCATTGAAATTGATATAATTAATTAACAATTCATTTAACAATAATTTATAACAAATCAAATTATACAATATGCTCACTCAGCATTCGTTACATGGGATTCAGTGATACTTTTTGATACGTCCTAATTGGCGATCTCAATAAACTTCTGACTAAAAATAATAGTTATCCATAGTTTTCTCATACGATTGTCTGACCAGTCCCCCCCCCCCCCCCCCCCCCAATTTTTCCAGTTATGTTCTGTGGTCTTAAATTAGGTTAAAGCATTTTTTGAAGTATTCTATTACATGTAATTATTATTGTATACATATAGAAAATATCGCTTTGAACACCAAAGTCGCTATTAAATGTTTCCTTATTCTTCTGATTTTTTTTCGATGGCTTACTTTTCTAAATACTCTCGGGCGGTTGATATTCAAAATGATGGTGTTGTAGAAGCTACAAAAATGACAGAGACAACGACACAGTAAAGAAGAAATTTAACAACATCAAACAAAGAGGTATCAATTTTTTTTTTAATCTAGTCGTTTAATTCTTGTAGGTTTCATTTAGACTTTTGATGATTATTTTTAATTTGTTCTGATGATTTCCATTTGTTTTTTTTTTTTGTCAGTACAAAACTTCATCGAACGTTTATTGTTATCATTGTTGTTATCATTTTGGTTCAAGTTTATGCAAAACGGAAACGGTTTCGTATCATCGTTTCTGAAATTTTGGGAGGGGTAGTCAGAGAGAGAAGGGAGAGAAAGAGAGAGAAAAAAGGAATATCCAAACTCGAAAATCCTATTTGGGAGAGCGTAACGGGGGGGGGGGGGGGACCTAACTTTTATTGCTCAATTAATTTCTATAGTATAACGTTATGTCTGGAAAAGGGACCCCCCCCCCCCCACCGCCTGTGATACGTGCTGAGAAATACAGTTTACTGTTATATACATGAAAGGTAATACCATCGTCACAATTTTTATAAAGTTGTTGTTTTCGTTAAAGTATAGTAAACAGTAAACTGGAATGGGACATTGTTGCATGAATGAGGCAAATTACATTTTTCCTGGATGAATGAAAATGTACGAAAAATCGTTGGGCTCATTTTCGTAGGTTAAAAAATATTTTTTCACGTTATAAGGAGATTTAGAAACAGGAAAGACACACTCAGTTGCAAGAAAACTTATAATTATTGCTTGTGATGGTCCAAGATAAAGATAGCCTTTAATCTTCATTGTGTTGAATAAACTAGATCACAAAGAAGAAAGAGGAGACTTATGCAAATGTCTTGGTTAAACAGCAAAAGTTTCCCGTTATAACACGAAAGTTTCGCTCTAACGTTAAAGTTACAAGTTTATTCGCAAATTCTTTTAACCTACGAAAATGAGCAAAATGGGCTTTCGTAACTGATTTGTCTTATCTATGCCTGCTCAATAAATGCAAATTTCTAAAGACATATTTAAAATAAATTAAGAGGACATGTATTGACCCAGGTAAAGAAAAGATTGACATGTTGAGAAGGCCAAAGACAGGCGGTGGTCCGGCGCCTTCTTCCCTAACAGCTTCCGAGGACGCATTGATGCAAGCCTTTGAAGGGCGACCACAGATATGCGGACTGCCGGATGGAATAGACACAGACGCAACTGATGGTACAAACAAAAATAAGATGAAGCTTTCTATTTCAAATTTTGCTCAACCTTCTTATTTCACAAAAATTTAAAATTCTATGTATAAATTTAACAGAAATTGACAACGGCACGGCTTCTGTCTGTACATCTTCTGCCGCCTGCACATCTTCTGCCGCCTGTACATCTTCTGTCTGTACATCTTCTGCCATCTCTGAGTCTGCTACCCCCAAGACTGCAGCCACTGGCCATCAAGTCTCTTCTAAAAAGCCAAAGAGAAAGGGAATCAAGGATGCGTATGAAGAAGAAGATTTGGAGAATATGAAACTGGATAATAAAAAAATTAAGCTCCAAATTGAGAAATTGATAATTGAAAAGCAGAAACTACAGGCAGAAAAGGAGTTCATTGAAATTAAGAAGGCGTTTTTGGTCCGTCAGTTCGAGGAGCGATATCCGAATTCGATTATTTATACAAGTAATCCAAGTCTGGGTAATGAATTGTAACGTTGTTTCAATTACGAGTGTAATTTTCTTGGAAAATTAAATGTACATGACTGTATTTAAGAAAAAAATTACATGAAACCTATAATACTGGTAAAAATAAATACTAATACATATAACGTTAACATTTATCTGTTAATTATTGCCAAAGGCTATTTTTAAGGCATAACAGCATTTAATACTGTGTTGTGAAATCTTATATCTTATCTGGCGAAGGGTACCTGTAAAATGTGAAACGAAATAAAAATAAAATGAAACAATTAAAACGCCACATCTTCCGAAATGAAACGAAATCAAGGCCTAACGAATAGAAATAAAAACGAAACCTACCGAAAGCAAACCAAACTATCAGAATTACAAGCACTTGGGGTATGGACCCCCCCTTTCCATGTAACTTGGTCATCTATATAACTGTTTAAAAAAATTAATTATATTGTTATAAAAAAAAGAGAGAATGTTTAAATTGTACATTTATGTATGTTGAAATGCCCCTCGGGGCCCTTAATTGGTAAATAAAATATCTTGTATCTTGTATACATGTACATGTGGACGAATAAGGACTGAAAATGAGAGTAAGACATAAAAATTAGAAAATACTAAATATACTGAAATATTATGCATGCATAGTATGCTCGCACATATTTGCAGCTCTCAGCAGTTCCTTCGTGTAAATATATACATCACTACTAGGGAAACATTTTGACAGTTTTGTTTCGTTTCGTTGTGATTCCGTTTCGCTTCGGCAGATTTCGTTTCGCTTCAGTTCGTTTCGTTTCTATTTCGTTTCGCACAGGTACCCCTTTGCGAGTTTTGTATAGGTAATAAAATATCTTACTTAAGTGAAATACGTATCCACTATGTGATTGCGCATGTTTAATCCATCACCAACTACATGTAATGCATTGTCGTTTCCACCAAGCAGTTGAACTTCATCTTGTCTACAATCTACGATATCACCCCTGTCTATTCCAATGTTGTGCAATATTGCACAAGCAACGATGTACCTCGTAGCTTGACGTGGGTCTGTCCTGATATAGAATAGATTACAGATTATTTCTCCAATTAACGGTTGTTGATTTATTCTTTGTCCCGACTGACAAAATGAAATAATTGAATGCAAAATACTGATTAAGTTCAACGGTCTCTTTTAAACAGGTTTTTTAAATTATTCTTTTTTTTTTAATTTTCAAATGCCAAACACCTTAGTACCCCTTGTAGGCACGAAAATCTGCGCTTCAAAATTCCAAACGTTTGTTCCACTAGTACCCTCGTTTTATAAAGTGATGCATTGAATCTCTGTTGTGGGACAGTAGAAGGATTCAGAAACGGTGTCATGAGATACCTTTTACACGGATAACCAGAATCTCCGAGTAGAAATCCGTTATATTCACCTATTAAGATGTAATACAGAATTACACTCTAAAAATGCAAATAATTCATTGGTTTTGTGTTTTTGAAATGATAGGAAAGTGATTGCAAAACAAGTACTGTACCATTCTCAAATTTCTGACACAATGCAGATTCGCGCCATATTCGGCTGTCGTGAACGCTGCCAGGCCATTTCGCACAAATACTTGTAATTCTGAAGTTGGCATCGCAAACAGCCTTTAAAAAATTTAATATAAAACGAAACATAATTATACAAGGACAATATTGAGGCTGCTTGATTTTTAAAATGTGCGTTAATTAATCGACATCAACATGCACAGAATTGATGGAGCAACCTCCAGTGTTTTACAGTAATAAGATTAATGAAGCGACTTTGAACCCCCTTCTCTTTATTTAACAAGTAGGATTTGGACAACTTTTTTCTTTAATGATTAATTCTCACTCTAAAAAAAAGTCTTAAATCCGTGCACATTTTTTTAAACATCGCAAAAAATATACCTGTACGTTCAACGAATGGAAACCTTTACGATTGACATAATCAGGTTCGTTCTCATTAGGGGCAATAATTCCAATAAATGTGCCATCAACACACCCTAAAACGTTTGGAAATCCTATAAGAAAAGATCAAATTAAATCAAAGCATGCATGATAAGTCTAACTCATTTTTTTCGGATTTTAAAAAAATAAATAAAAAGGTAGGCCTATATTTTTTCTTATGACACATGAATGAAACTACGTAAACCTTAACCGTTTGTGTAGTTCTATAAGTATCTCTTACATGTTGAATGTTTTCAAACCATAAAAGCCTGTGCCGTCCATATGAAAAAAGCCTTTTATTTAAGTTATTTGAGTAGATATATTTCTTATTATTTGACTTGTCATGCAATCTAAAGAGTACGAACACATAACAGGCACCTAAGCCTTTGAGGTAGTAAACTTGTACGAGTTGTCTGTTCATTGGAGTTGTCTTTCTTTGAAAAACAAAACCGAAAGTACAATGCAGACGAAAAATGAAAAGAACATTGATAATTTGATTTCATTGGGAAGATGCGGGTTTTTTTTTACCTGCTATTTTCAAAAATTGTTGTTTTGTTTCTCTGGCACGGTTACCCTTGGGGAAGGTGATACAATCTGCCAGCAAATGAACTATAGCATCACAGACTGATCGACAACATCTTCCAGTAGTTGTTTCAGACACTCCAATGCTGTCCCCGACCAGTCTGTGAAACGCCCCCGTTGCTAGGAACCTCAGGCAGGTGAGAATCTGCAGGATTGGAGGTAAGGCACTGTTCTTCGTCGTATTATGCATAATTGCTGGACTGATTTTGTCCAAAATATATAAGATAGTTGGTGTTCTAAACCTATACCTATCAAAAATCTCATCCTCAGAATATATCTCTAATGGATTCATTCGGTCTCGTATTACTCTTTTTGAAATTCTACGAATACGTCGCATTTGTCGCCTGCGGCGCCGTTTATGTCGTCTGTGAGCAGCCATTTGTATTGCTTGAGTATTTACTTGAGAAAGGTAAAGATCTACCTCCAATAATTTGAGTACGTAATCAAATTTTTGACTTGAGTATGTACTCAAATATTTGGTGGCGGTGACTTGAGGCTGAGATTATGGGTTTGAGCATTTTGTCAGAGTTGAGCCTGAGTTTTATACTTAGTAGATTGAGGTCACCTCGATAAACTGGAAGTGGAATATATTAAAGGTATTTAAGGATTTTGAAGAATTTTTGTGTTGTGAATTGATCATTCAATGACCGACAAAATTTAGAATATATTAAAATCAATCAACAAATGTGAATAAATATACATGAACATGAAATCGTGTTTTTTGAAATAAATTTGGTATTCCGGAATAAATCGGTCTTATCATATTCGGTCCTACCCTTATATTCTGCGCGAACCAATGAACGATTATCTCACAAACAATTTCGGGAAATTCAAAAGGGCTGATCATCGCATGATTTGCTGAACTTGATCAAAACATCAAGCAACACATCTTTTGCAGTATTTCAAAGAACAGGTAAGTTAAGAACGAAACATTGTGTTTCATTCACCTTCACTTTAAACCCTTAGTGACGACAACGTCTCAGGGTGCTTTGTTCTGAATCTCATAAAATTTCATCATTTCTATTTTTGATGGCTTCAACAATTTATGAGTTACCAGTGTATTTGCAGTTCTGATCAAGTGTGAAAGGGTTTGTATTAATGTCAGTTGATTCACCCTTTGAATTTTAAAATACGCATTTTTAATTATGCTACCAATTCTTTTTTTCTATTTAAATTAAAAAATGTGTTTGATAAATACAATGAATGGTTATCATGTTAAGCAGTACACACATGATACAGTGGAGTAGCCAATTCCGGGTCATCTCCTATTCCGGGTCACTCGCGTGTATTTTATTCCTAGTGTTAAGATTTAAGCGCAAAATACTTAATGAATACGCTGGTCGTGAAGAACTGGTCTTTCTGTTTGTCATTAATTACAAAATTTTGAATATCAACTTTAAGAGAGCATCCGACAATCGAAATTTTGAAACGCGCTCATTAAAGACTTGGATATTTCTGCTGCGGTGACAGGCTACTTTCGTTTTTGTTCGCTACAGAAAGGCTGATATAAAAGTTCTAGATAAATAATAAGAGCTCGAAAGTATGGCAAATGCATTTAGTTTTAACTCAGAAATCAATCATAATGATCGTTGCTCAAATAAAATTATTATGATTATTAAATCAAACTGTAGTAGTTTCTCCAGTTGTGGGTCACGCAATATCGTGGCATGAACATTTCAAATTTCTATGTACAAAACCAATCGACAACCACGTATTTACCTTGATTATCAAAAGTTTTCTAACTGGAAAATATTTTTTCTAAAAATCAAAATCTAGTTAACCCTTCAAATGCATCTTTTAAATAAATGAATTTAATTGTATCATTAATCCTAATACATTTTTTACATTCTGCATACTGCAATTTGTAATTGTTTTAAAAATAATTAAAACATATTTCTGTGATTGTTTTACTTTTTTCCAAGCTGCATGAATTGTTTTTGTTTCAACATCATAAAAATCGTGTTCCAAAGCGTTCCATGAATATTACACGACCGTGAAGTCATATGACCCGGAAATGGAGAAAATGATTCGTAACTGGGGAAGCTAGGCCTTGCTGAAATACCCGTGTAAATATTGTTCCCGTGCAGCTACTTTGAAAACGAAAAGGTGTTTGGATGACTCACTATTTGTTCTTTCAATACATATATTGCATAAAATATAAATTGAACAGATTTGCAAAATATCAACGAAACACCCTGACGTGACCCGAAATTGGCGACTTCACTGTATTGACAAAGTGAAAAAAATAACTTTTCTAACATGAAGATGGTCATTGGTGCGTCCGTTAACACAATCATAGTTACACTGTACGAATTCAGATATGTCTTTTCAAACCGCATGATATCTGACACGTCTCTGGCGTCGCGTGATGTTTTTAAGTTACATTGCTAAAACGAAGTGTGAAAGGTGCTTATATTACTATGAAAAAAAGTTTTGTCTGCAATTTATCTGCAGTATCCATTAAATTAATGTGCAGATTTTAATTTTCTTGTTAA